CAAACAAGGAACAGAAAATGGAGCGGAAAGCACACATCCTACTACCTGTCGGATCCGATTAATATATATTCCTGATGTATAAACTAAGGAATCATAACGTTAGCATTATAGGCCCCTTTCTACTGAATGTACTATGACTCGACTGTTCTGTTTGTCGCTTGTAAGTTTTCCCTAGTTTATAACTATCTTAACTCGAAAATAGTTTGCATTAACTTTCAAGTGGAACTGTCACAATATGAAAGTAATGGGAAAAATATAAGTACATAGTTGTCTTTTATATTGACCACTGAAGTACCGACTACCTTAAAACCAGGTTGTTTTATTAAGGTCATAATGTGATGTGGTTGTACCCATACTATACACTCTCCCTGCAAGAGATTTTGGTTACAAAACGCGACTTCAGCAAACACATTGCTAATCCGTGAAGTAGTCTCACATTAAAGTTATCTTGTTCTTGCATACCATATTTATTATCACCTTTTGTTTAGAACAATGAGTTAGTGATCATTGGTATAATTTTGTTAATCATGATTTGTTCTTCTGTTATAGTATATAGTATGTTCTTTCTGTTATCGTGTATTGTATCTTCCTCATTGTTTCTCGTTATAGTATGCTCTCTATGTTCTAGTGTGAACTGAACCCCTAAACTATACCTTTTATAGTTTACTAGTATGTTTACTTGAACTGATATTGTCTTGAAGAAAATACTCATTTTATCTATAAAGCTATGTTTGTATTTTAAAAACGGAGTTTTGTAAACTATAAAGTAACATAACTTAAAAAGAGTTTTTGAAATGTTTTGATCACTTATAAATACATAAGCAGTTTGTTAAAATGATGTTTACAGCAAAACATTTACACAATTATCATTGTGTTCAACGTGTATTCCCCCCCCCCCCCCTTAAAAGCATTTAAAATAGTTAAAAGATTGATTATAGGGGTATGAACTCATCTTATGTGGGTGATTCAATCGAATGTGCACGTAAGGATGAGAAATTCCACGAATGAAGTCTCGAGACACAAATGAGTCCTAATGACATATAAAGGCATATATTGGCATGAATTTAGTGTTTAAAGCAACTAACATCCAAGGAAACACCCTTAGGGACTAAGAACCACTTGGACTAAGTGTTAGAATCACATGTGATTGATCAAAAGGGGTTTACAGCCACACACATGTGTTTACGGCCATGATGTTTACGGTCTAGGGTGTTTACGGCTAAGGGAGTTTACGACCGTAAACTCCTGGAGATCACCCTCAAATCGTTTGTTCCAAGTATTTAGGCTAATGATTCTACTAGGTAGCAAGTGTATGGAAGGAATACTCACGATTTAGAAGCCTTAAAAGGGGTTTTCGGGCCACCAAGAACAAGTGTGTGTTCTTGGTGAAAGTTGATGATCTTGAAGATCTAACCAAAAGAGGTGATTTCATGGATGAATCAAGAGATGCTTACAAGGCCTGGAAGGAATAACAAGAAGGATGGATGAATCACTTACAATTTTTGAAGATCAAAACGAAGATCCTTATGATACTTGAGAGAGAATTCAAGTGTTCTTCAGGTGAAAGTGTAAGAAATGAAGAAAAGTGAAGGAATATGATACTTACGGGCATGAGTTCACGGCTGGCAAGAGTTTACGGCCGTAGACTCCTTGTTTGCAGCCGTAAACTCCTTGAGATGCAGTTTATGGCTTGAATGATGTACAGTGAACTCAAGCTGATACTTCCTAACACTCATTCCTTGGATGTATTAGGCTTAGAAATCATTAGAATGACCCTTAACAAGACTAAAAGGCAAAAGAATTTAGTCTGGATTTTGGTTGATTGGCTGGACTTTCCATGATAAAAAATTTCGAGTTGTTACACTATATATATATATATATATATATAATATATATATATATATATATATTATATATATATATTATATATATATATATATAGTTTAGTTACATATTTTATCTTTTCTGATAAATATTACTTTGTGGCAAACATTAAAAATGTGAAATTGTAATATTGAAAAAGGGTCGGGTATTCGTTGATTCCCTGGATACGGGTATAGATTCAATTATTCAAGGGTTATTGGAGTAGGGTGGGTCATGTATTTCAAAATTTTAAAAGGTTTGGATCAAGGTTGATTTGCTCCAAACACGCCTCATTGATAGGTGTACAATAGTTGACTAGAACATTTGAATCTCTCTCTCTCTCTCTCTCTCTCTCTCTCTCTCCTCTCTCTCTCTCTCTCTCTCTCTCTCTCTGCTCTCTCTCTCTCTCTCTCTCTCTCTCTAAGGATCCTATGTAACCACCAATATGGTTATGTGAACTAATTTTTAGTAAATCAATATATGTTATTTTTAGTTAAATTTAATATATATATATATATATATATATATATATATAAATTAGTTAATTAATTTTAAATTGAAAGATACAAATTGGGAAAATGTATCTCTCTTTCCTTATATCACATATATTCTCTCCCCTAAAATTCTAGGGCTCCATTGGCTAGTCTGCCTGCCTCTTCCACAAATCATCTTCTTCGGTTCACCATACATGCAACTCGTTCATTTACAAAAAAAAAAAAAGGAAAGAAGCAAACCTAAAAAATCAATTATTAAGGGAGATGGATTTTGTTTTTGCATAATCACCTTCGTCGGCCATATTCATCAAGACAATGGGCCTACAAAAAGTGGCATCCACCATTGTCGACAAACCACCATCGCCACTTCTCCATTATCGCTGCCTCATCTCCGATTTCAACTTCATATTTTATTGGGGTTGATTCCAGGTTCTGATTTTCAATCTCTTAATATAAAATTGATTCTTACTAGGGCTGCAAAACCAGTCATTCAATTTCCCTTCTACTTGCAGTTACCCAAGAAATAATGCCCCTGATAGAACATATTTTAGGAAGCCTTATTCGAGTTCACTTCTTACCCTTGAAGAACCCAAAGTTCAATTGGCGGGTACGATGGTGATGATGGCTCCCTTGATTTTCTTTCAATTGAGTGTAAGTCTATGTTGGATTCTAACTTGGAGTAGACTTCATCCGGTTTACATTTATTTTTTTGTTTCGTTAAGTTCAAGTTGATTGAACTCGATTTGGTTAGTCTATTAAAGGGTTTATATCTTTCGGGTAACTGGGAAAAATACCTATGTTTGTTGGAATGGGTACCGGAGGATTCAAGAAATAATCAAGTCTTTCATTATTGACAACCAAATGATCGAATTGGTACACGAGGATTCAAGAAATACTCAAGATTTTCAAGTTGTTGCTCCATTCTTAAAGAATAGTGTTCATACAGAATAATAGTCCATTCTAACGTTGTTTCATGTTATCAAAAACATCATATTCATGTATTTTTTTCAAGAAGAAGAGTTTATTATGGAAAAACAAATCAAATAGCTCAAACTTACACCCAAATATCTGATATGACAAACAAATCAAATAGCTCAAACCGCAATCTCAGGAATGCGTCTGAAAAAATGAAATTTCGCATTAACTAATTGTGAGTAATACAAACACTCTAGTCTCGTAGTATGTGTTTTCCTGATTCCAAAAATATAAAGAACATCCAAAACGGAGTTCGTATGCAAAAGATACGACAGTTTTAAAAATCCAAAACTAGTACAATATTAATTTTCTTAAAACCGCTTCTATCTGTAAAGGGACTTGCACACCTCAAATAGAAATTCTGAAAGCATTTTTGAATTTAGGCTATAGCCTAATATTTAATTTCATATTTGAAATATTTTTGATAATTTTTTTTTTATAAAAGTCAAAAATCAGATGTTTTCAGCTTAATTAAAATGTAAAACTTTAAACGTCATTTCACGGAGATCAGTATAACAGAATTCAATTATGTCTGCATTTTTGGAATCACCACGACCTAAACACTTAGCAGGCACTTTTAGAAAATTTATATGAATCGATAAGAAGGCACCAGAATCGAAGTATGCATCACAATAAACAAATATATATAAAATGTATTGTAGTTATTTTTGTGAAAAATGTTTATAAATGGTATAATGACAATGCCACTATATACGTATATCTATTTCCTGTGCGGTATGCGACTTCGAAAGATCAAAAGTAGTCGTGTATATCACAATACATATATGTTATATAATTAAAATTATATAACAACACTAAACATATATAAATTTATATACGTACGGATATATGTGTATGAGACATATATGTTTATATATATATATATATATATTATATATAACCAATAAAATTTCTCAAAACTCCAAACACAATTACATAGTATATTAAATCAAATAGACACACATTACTCTCAAACTGACAATCAAAAGCAAAAGCATGAAGTCCCTTCGATATTTCCATTTACCCAACACTGCACACAAAGGGATTAGGTAATACAACACTCCAACACAATTGTACAAATACAACCTGTATAAGTAAAATCAACTAATAAAAATATATACCTGCACAACAGTTGAACTCAACCCCACAGAACACCCAAAGGAAAGGTGTGTTTCCTTTTGAAACTACCAAACAACAAACCAAAAACATTACTAATTTCTCTTAACTATTTGTGATCGGAACTGTCAAAATAAAAGGGAAAAACCTATAAGACTCGACCAAAGTAGCCAAAGAACCCCTTGGATCGAGGTTATGTTGTCTTTCTTCTTCGTCTTCTGCAATGACCACACACTTTTTTCTTTCCTGTCGATTACCTCAAAAATAAACAACACAATCAATTGCTAATTGATGTCACACAACAACCCAAACATCTGTTTTCTTACCCTTTTCTATCAAAAACCAAACATCCATACTCTCCATCGATTCTATCATGAACAAACAAAAGAAAAAGAAGAGAATTTCTTAACATGTTGTTAACCGTTGCTTCCATGCTCTTTTCTTCTAATCTTCGGTCCAGCCAAGCACCGAAGGTGCCCCATCTTCCACCCCCGATCGCATCGTTGCATCCACCGAGACTGACGACCCACCCCTCACACCTCCTCCTTCTTTCTATCGAGTATTGGTGCCAAAATCCTCGCTGGAGTTGCTAATTGCCGCTTGATTGCTTCCCTTGATCCAGCCATCTCCTCCCCTCATATCACACTGCCGGAGTAGATAAAAAGGAGCTTCACTGCTTCCGTCCTGCTCCCTTTTCATCGCGATAAATCTACAATCATCGAACAAATTCTCTGCCTTCATGTTTTCTATCCAATCATCGTGTTTGAAGTGATGCTTCTGTTCGTTCCCTCTCTCTCGAATCAAACGACGACCGAGAGACCCAAGCCTCGCACTCCTCTTCCCCTTCCGTCGAGCAAACCCACCGAACACCCCCTCCAATGGCACCAATCGTAGTTGTTGCTGCGCCCTTCGCCTGAAATTGATCATCAATAGTCGGACCTTTCAACTGCCATCGAGTTTCCTTTTGGCCGCTTCGTTGATTCCTCTAATACCCCCGATCAAAACAAGAGACGGAGCATAAAATCCCTAGCTCCTTTTGATTTCGAAGAAATGACCAAAATTCCTTCCATATTAAACCTTTTATTCAAAATAAGTCCCAATGCATAAACAAGGATTCCATGTATTCAAAATAACTCCTCATTTGGTAAAAAATTTAACAAAACAGTCCTATCTATTAAATTAAATTTACCAAACAACCCCTATACTATAGCGAAGTTAAAATCAGTCCCCGGTAGTTCAAATTTTGCCACAGACGTTCCTGGAAGTTCTTCAAATTTCAAGAATTGTGAATTTGCGGTTTCTCACGATGAGCTTCTTAAAGAAAACAAATTCAGACGATTTGAACTCACGCTTCAAGAGTAAGTTCTTATGGCCCCGTTTTAATATTTTAATTATTTCAGGAGGGAATAGATGTGCCAATATATTTTGTTTATACAAACCAATTACTTTTTTATGCGAAAATACAATAAACCTAGTTTGTAAAAATATTATTATTTAACTATTTACCATATTGTTACGAATAAACTAGTATAAATTTCTCGTCAACGTCTTATGGTTATTTTATCGTGAAATAACAATTTCACACAACAAACACTACACGATAGAAAATTATATGATTTTTATGTGACATTGCATATTATAACAAGTATGTTATAAAACAATGTAGTATTTCATGGATTCAAGCTATTATTAAACATGTTTATTTATATGTTTAAGTACACCACGTTTATACCTATACATATGTTCATTAAATTGAAAAAAAATCATTTTTATAAAAGCGAGTACATTACACTTTTACATACATGTCAAACATACTCGGCTTTTATAACCTTATACAACGATAGTATTATGCCTAACGACTTACCCACAAGTAAGTTAGGGCTAAGAGTTATTCACAAACTTTTTAGTTAAGGGCTTTTTAGTGAGACGTTATTCATTATCGGAATGGATTGGTTATCACTTCATCACATAGAGATTTTATGTCACGAAAAAGTCGTATGAATACCTTTACCCAGCAACGAAGCCCTAGCAAATCGGGAAAGAACCTAAGAGTCATCACTTGCATGAAGGCAAGAAGGTCTTTGTAGAAGAAATGTTTCACTTTCTTGGCCCACGTGGTAGATATGCAAGACAAGGGTAAGGAAATCAAAGACATATCGCAAGTGTGCAACCAACCGGACGTATTCCCAAAGGATCTAACTGGAATACCTCCAGTCAGACATGTCGAATTCTGAACCGACCTGGTCCCGGGTGCAGCACCAGTGGCAAGATCTCCTTATCGTCTAGCTCCATCAGAAATGCAAGAACTACCCAGTCAACTTCAAGAACTTCGTGGAAAAGGCTTTACCTGGCCAAGATTCTCTCAATGAGGAGCTCCGGTATTATTTGTCAAAAAGAAGGATGGATCGTTCAGGATATGCATCGACTGTCGAGAGAGGAACAAACTCGCCATCAAGAGCCGATATCCACTCCCGAGGATTGATTACCTGTAACAACCCGTTATTTCAGATCATTGTAATGACTAAAAGTTAATTTTTGTAATCTCTTTGTGAAATAATAAAATAGCGTCAAAAATGAAATATTCAAAAAAGCTCAGTTCGAGTATACTATGTGGTAGACATCGTATCAAGGTTTCCCAAAATATAAAGAACACAAAAATCCGAGTTATAACGAGGAAGTTATGACCATTTGAAGATTCGTAACTATACCGGTAAAACACGGTTAAGCCTAAAACGAGAAGTTTCCATAAAATACTTATTAGCCTTAGGTATCTAAATAAAAGTCGTAGATATTATTTAACCGTGAACCATACATAAAAATAACGCCCAAATCTGACTTCGTATGAGGAAGTTATGATTTTTCGAAGTTTCGGGATAGTGGTAGACAGCTAAAACCTCGAAATAGAGATCGAGCGTTTTTTTAGCCAAAGCAACCTAAATGAAGGTTGAAGGTCTCGATAAGAGCAATACAACGGTAAAAAGACAGACGAAAACGGACGTCGGATGAAGAAGTTATGGATTTTTAACGGACTTTTCGTGTCCCGGCCTATTAAAAATATAATTAAAAATAAATTCAAAACTAGCTGACGGAGTCTAAATGAATGTTGTAGAGTACATTCTCACCTACGCGTGGATATAAAGAACGCGAAAAACGGAGCTCGTACGCAAAAGTTACGCAATTTAGAAGTTGGAAAAATCACATTACGCCCCGCGTAATGTGTTACGCCCCGCGTACCAGGCGATAAGGGCCTCGTCCCATCAACCAGCAGGCTCTCCCATCGGCCATCAGGTCCGAGCTACGCATGCAATGACGACTCATTACGCCCAGCGTAACTGGGGTGAGTACGCCCCGCGTACAAGGGGGTTTCAGCCCCTATAAAAAGGGTGCAAGGGTTCCGGGATTATTTGCTCATTTCTTCTCTTTCTCGTGCCGAAGCTCTGCGTTTAAACCCTCGGAGCCATCCCGAAGTCCCGGTTTTCATATCCAAGTCCCGAAGGAAGTTTTACACTCCCGAGATTCCCGAGAATCCCGAGAAATCCGCTTTCTCCTGTCGAAGTTCTGCTCGATTATTGCTCTATCTTCTTCAACCCGCCTCTTCAACCAAGTGAGTTCATACCCCCAATTCTACGCTTTTAAATACTTTTTCAATGCTTTTAACACATTACGGGGGGGGGGGGGGGAATACAGTAAAACAAAAACACACGGTTAATCTTGTGTGAAACATCTATCTTTCGTTATACATTTCAGATTGTTTTTAATAACTATCATATGGATCTGTTAACATGCAAAACATCTTACCTTACTTTAACCTTTGGGAATAAAACATGATTATAAATACTATAAGCTTATTTATACGTTTGCATCATATTAAGGGTAACTATTTTTCAGTATACCATTTTTATACCATACAGAACGTCCACTTTTCACTATGCCTTTGATAACATTGTGAAAAAGGATAATCATTTCAGAAACAACATTATTCATTTTAATATGGGACTTAATTGAGAATCTGTGAGACATTCATCTTCATTATACCTATTAAGGTATTACTAGAAGTCCTGTTTATAACCAGAATCTCCCGTCCCGAGAACGTGGCAAGTGTGTATAGATCTACACGAGACTAATGATCTCGCGCCCTGACTGCTAGCTACAGTCCCCGGGGTGACAAGTGTCATCTCATTTCGACACCTGAAGAACATCGCTACAGGAAAATTATGATAGCACAGTTATAAAAACTCACTGGATAGACAATTATTATGGTATTATGTATTCACGAGGAAAGTGACTATTACGGTCACTTTTTCATTTACAAATACGATCTTCTTATAGTTTTGTTTTATAATAAGACTATACATCATTCTTTTAAGCATGTCATAGTTGCTTACATTACGTCTTGGGGCTGGTCGTTTTGAGAACATTTCACTTTTAGGAAAATAAGGGATTTTCCTGTTTCAAATACATACAGTTTATACAACGATCTTTCATACTCATCTCATACATTTAATAGAAAATAAGGGATTTTCTGGAAAATATACATGAACTTTCGAATGGCATTCATTTTCTCAAAACACTACTTATGAACTCACCAACTTTATTGTTGACACTTTTTCTTTGAAATAACTTGTATTCTCAGGAAACCGCTAAACCAGGTAGCAACTGCTTTTAAAGACTAACGCATTGGCGTCAACAACATATTTTGGATCACCATATTGTATTTGATTTCTTTTGCAAACATGTAACACATACAATCATGTAAACTTTTCAAATATATTTATATTATGGTGGTGTGTACTTTCTTTACTATTCTTTTGTTATGATACTTGACATGACGTCCTCCGCCCCCGAACGTTTCCGCCGTTCAGGTTTAGGGGTGTGACAGATTGGTATCAGAGCATTGTTTATAGTGAACTAAGTATATCAAAACCATTTTTGATATACAACTATAAACATAACTGGGCAAAAAACACTCTGAGTGAGATTTATTACTTTTAAAATGAAACTTTATAAAGTATACATACATACATTGTATAGCAGGGTCAGTATCATAATGAAAACAATATAGAAGTATTATAGATGAGTTGTGCAATACAGAATATGTAATCAGGACTGGGATGGATATAGCCTGATCAACTATATTTGTCCGAGAGCCGACCAGCATATGCCAGGGGATAGCTATAGTGGACAACAAGTCTAAAACTTACCAAACCTATAAACTTTAGAATCAAGCCTAACATCTAAATACTATAGGAGTATTTTGGTAAATACAATAGTTTAACTTACATGTTTAGATTTACATGTTTTAATTTTTTAGACAATTCTCATATCTCAATTCTCGCGCAGACACAATGGCTGGATTCCATCCACCAGGGGAACCCTACTACCCCAACCAAGGCAACGGAGGTTGGGTAGAAGACGACTCGAAAGAGGAGGAGGAACCCATGGAAGAGGAAGAAGAGGAAGGCTATGATGGAACAGACTCAGAGCCAGATGTAATCAACCCACCAGCCGTCCGACCTCCTGCGGTTAGGATAGGTTTTCAAGGACCTACTCCCGTCTGGGGAAGCCACATTCACCACTGGAGTCAACAACAAGGAGTGCGTCCTCCCTACGGCATGTGTCGGGACTTCTATAATGTCAGCAATGGAAGTTCAGCCGACCAAGCACTCCCAGTAATTGTGGGCAAACTAGCTAACCAGTCCTACCAATCGGGAGTTCAAGAACCGGATTCGCGAATCTCAACGTGGAAGGTACAAGGTAACGCTGCCGACATCCGCCACCTGGACAGGTTGCAGGAAAATGCCCAACTCCACACCGACACACTCCAAGACCAACTAAACACAACCCTCTCTGAGATAAGGGAAATAAGGGAGCAACAAGCCACCTTTGACAGGCGTCTTATGGGGGCAAAGCAATCAGACACAAAGTCA